CATGATATATGAGTCATCCCATGATATATTCATTCATCCCATGATATATTCATTCATCCCATGATATATTGAGTCATCCCATGATATATTGAGTCATCCCATGATATATTCATTTATCCCATGATATATTCATTCATCCTATGATATATTCAATCATCCCATGATATATTCATTCATCCCATGATATATTCATTCACCCCATGATATATTGAATCATTCCGTGACACATTGAGTCATCCCATGATATATTCATTCATCCCATGATATATTCATTCATCCCATGATATATTCATTCATCCCATGATATATTGAGTCATCCCATGATATATTGAGTCATCCCATGATATATTGAGTCATCCCATGATATATTCATTCATCCCATGATATATTCATTCATCCCATGATATATTCATTCATCCCATGATATATCGAATTATTCCATGATATATTGAGTCATCCCATGATTTATTCATTCATCCCATGATATATTCATTCATCCCATGATATATTCAATCATCCCATGATATATTCAATCATCCCATAATATATTCATTCATCCCATAATATATTCATTCATCCCATGATATATTGAATCATTCCATGACACATTGAGTTATCCCATGATATATTCAATCATCCCATGATATATTCATTCATTCATCCCATGATATATTGAATCATTCATCCCATGATATATTGAGTCATCCCATGATATATTGAATCATTCCATGATATATTGAGTTATCCCATGATATATTGAGTCATCCCATGATATATTCATTCATCCCATGATATATTCATTCATCCCATGATATATTGAATCATTCCGTGATATATTCATTCATCCCATGATATATTCATTCATCCCATGATATATTGATTAATCATCATTCCGGAATAGGGACCTCCAACTTCTAATTCAGATCAACATATATTCCAATATTTTTATGGAAACTTGCCAGTCACAATTTTTAATTTGAGTATCCAGCCTCCAAAATGGATGGGGAAAAATGCTGTCAGCAGACGTTGTGTTAACAACAAGGAGTAAAATCAACAACCTGAACTATCCACCTTTATTAGACCTGAGCTTCTCTGACTTTTCTGAATGCCTTTCAGCGTCACGTGAGAACTGAAGTATGAATGATTGAACCCATATAGTTCTAGCCGTTTCAAATACACCTGCGAATCGTACACTGATGTGCCGTCAACTATATAATTTCCGAAGTGCTTCTGAAGGGTGCAGAGGAAGTATTAGAGGGGGTTTACTGATGGGCATAGTGTACGATGTTCACTTCCAAAGGCTTCCAAACGGTATTAATGTGCTACGAAACTACCTGGGTAACGAATTAATTATTGACAATCATAGAACCCAATTTAACTTGAGAAATGACTGAGATACTAAATTCGGACTCAGCTGCACAAGACACTATGCCTGTAATAGGCGAGTAAGTGTATGTTCTCCTGCAAATATATGTGATGTTATACACAAATATGTGTTTGCTTTATAGCGGAAAACACCTAGCCACAGCATTATCCTACCACAAATTCATGGTGAGTGCATTCATTGCAAAAAGAATCGACCTTTTACATACTTTTATATATAGTTTTAAAACCTGGAAACGACGCACCTGCAATGTGTTCATAATGTATCTCTACCGATGAATTTGAAGATGAGTGAATTCAGTTTTATAATATATTGCGTTTGTGGCGCGAAGTTTTCATTCGGGAGTACTCGTCTCTGACAGCTCCGGACTCTGCTCATCTCAGAAAATGCGATTTGTCAAGTCCGGTATGACTACTTAGAGTACATGCAGCCTTGCAGCGATACAACTGTTACCCAGTGCTCAACCAACTTAGTAAATTGTTTACTGTGTGTGGGAATATTTATAATCAGCACAAATTGCTTGTTCTGCACGTGGGTGTAACTATATGTGCACCTAGCAGCCTTACATTTCAGCTCACATACTAGGGATCGAGAATGAGTATATCATTAACATCGCGTTGTACTAATATACCAGATGTAATTACTACCACGCGCGATCAGACTGCGCGTCCTTCGATAACTTGAAGGAGTTTATCTACCACGGAAATTATAATTATAATTTTAATAGTCCAGGTGGCACTTAAAACAGCCGATAAACCCTTGAACATTTACATTTCGTTACTTTGGCATGCGATTCAAGTTTTCCAGGTGTTGTCTACGTGTAAAGCCCCGGGACATGCTTCCCATGAGCCACGATCAGCTGGGACCAATTACTTTCACCACAGTTCAGCTTTCTCGCATTGAATGTACAAGCGCATATTCAATCAAAGCCAGAGTGTCAAATCTCATTAAAGCGTGTCTAATAAATACTGTATCTACCCTTCGGGTGTTGTAAAAATCACTGTGCATGCTATGAATCAACGTTGCCGTGAAGGTTCAAGTACATGGCGTTCTCATCCTCTCCCATCATGCCTCAGAGCAGATATACCTGACAACATTTTACTTTGACCGAAAAAAAACATAACAGAAGGATTTATTTTTTTCAAATCCGGAAGTATCCCGTTCACGTGGTACGCACGTTAATCTTGCGTGGATGTGACGCAGAATATGTGATCCTGCTTATTATGGACTTGACGTGGTACTAGGAACTAGTAAAACCTCAAACAACTAATAATTATTAGTTGTCTGAGGTAGCACACAAACCCTAACATATTTTCATAGTAATATATTATGATCTGTTGCTGTCGTGATATTTTGGTTTTGTTGTTGTTGTTACTACTGTTACCTGGCAAGAATTCAGCCAAACTTGTTTTCAACGAAATCACGTACAAGGACAAGGCAACCATATTTTAACTATAGTACTGGCGGAAGTGTATATTTTCGTATGTGTATGTCCCGTGGAGATGTAATCAATATATGCGTCTCGCTCTTAGCGTGAAAGAACTGCCAGTCACTCAATCGAGAAATCTAGAGTGAATGATGCGATATAGATAACTAGAATCCGTGGTTGCCTAGACATGCAAATTACATTCATTGCCGATGTATAACTGCATTTTACAGCATGTTAGTTGCAATTGGCAACTGGTCATTTAAATATACCTCTTTAATAAAAATAAAAGTAACAACAATACAATTTGAATGGCCTCTGTATGGTCAACTTGTATATGCATAGCATGTATTTTCAAAACTTAAATATTTATGAAATTCGAGTAAACGTAGTAAAATAGAATAAAAATAGCTCTGCGGTGTCTTGGGATGGCACCTTCTATGGCCCGCCTTTGTGCCACATGTGTTCTAATATAACCAACTGTTTGAAAAAGAAATGTCGAAGACGTATTAAATCTGGCGCTGGCTAAATTTATTTCATAGCCTATTTGTTCGTTTTTATTGAAGATGGGCCACCCTTGGTTAATTTTCTTTCTCAATATATTACCTACACGCACGCACGCATTCATTGCGCTCTTTTAACACATCGTCAACACGAATCGCACCTACTGGACCGATGTAATACGGTGTATGTATAAACCGAGCACGCCGTTCCTATATGTCGCGCCCTCTTGCGATTGAGCCATGCTGTGACGTAAGTGGTTGCGATGGAAACCGTTCTCAGCGTCAATATCATTTTTATCAATAAAAATACTGGTTTTTGTTTCTAAATGCCGAACGACTACGCAACCAAAGTTGCGCCGTACCCGAATACGTTATTTTGACATCACAGAAACGCCTTCTTGCTAGAGGGCGCGACTACTCAGAAAGGTATATTTGCACCCAAAATAATCCTGCACAGTGAGTGACAGGGAATGCAACAAATGCTGAAACTATGCGATGTTTAATGTAATTGCCATTTTGTATTTCCGTCATTGTTAATCTGACATCCTCCGATTACGCCGCCGTTGGATACTACTGCACTATGATTTGACATTATTTGTGTCTGTATGAACCCATCATGCAAATTAACACATTATGGCGAAATACAGACCCGAGGGCGTGTGAGATATGAGCAATTAATTGCCCTGTCCTGGCCCCTGTATTTCCCGCTGGGAAATCACGCGTAGCGTCGTAATTCTGTTTTTTTTCTCTTCTTCTTGTCGTTACGTCTTCACTTCGTTCAATATCAAGCTTTAAGGCCGATTAAGGTTATCACAGTTCCGCGCAAATGTATGTTTGTCTCTGACCATGGGAGATAATACTTTTATTGCTTTCCATGCTCTGACTGAAGCTGTAGCGATTATACATTGTTGCTGTATGTGACATGTTAAATCAAATCAAATCAGCACAAACATCTGTTGAAATAAAATCATCTAGGTCTCGAAATGATATTTATAAATTCGATATGTGTAGAGTGTTCTACATTACGAAGCGGTGTTACGATGCATATCGTTAAAGCGAGTGGTGAAGCAAGGTGAATGCGACGCGAACCCTGCCAACAAAAATTTAAATTGTAGGCACGTTTGAACATAATTACGGCAACATGAAGGAAACCGTCGCTGTAACAGACATTGTAATTATGAAATTCGCCACATCTCGCTGAAAATAACAGTATTTTAAAGCACACTTCAGACAATCATGTCTGACAAGTATTCCCTTTTAAGTCTATGTAAACCGCGGATAACAGACTGCCGTTTCGTGCTTATATAGGCATAAATATTATTTACAGCACTTTAAACATAACACGTCTGACCAGCCAGACAATTTGAACAAGACTATCCCATTTACGTATTAGTGCTTCTAATCAAACGAGAACCTGTCTATGGCTTCACTGACTCAATAAAGGACCGAATTTAAACGTCACTAAAACCAAGAGGGCGCTCATAGTGCTCCTGTCCTGTTGAGCAGAAATACAGTCGCTATACATCTATGCATCTATGACAATGATGACTTACTAGTTACGTATTCTGTCTAACATCATTCTGAACAGCGATTTTTTATATATCAGTTGCTATGACAACGAAACTTACTCGTTTTTTGTGTGCTTTGTTTTTGTTGTTTTTTGTAGTGGGATCTTGTGTGCGACAGAGCATGGCTACGTGAAATGGCCAGGTCGTCAGTCTACGCCGGCAGTCTTGTGGGTTCGCTTATACTAAGCCCTCTTTCAGATAAGTAAGATATATATTATAGTAACGACATTTAATATTAGCTGAACAAATAAAACAATACTGTCGTTGATGTGTGTTCCGTTTAACGTATATAACAGACTCGTTGAAACGCCGGTCACGGTGTTGTCGCACACATTATAGGCTCTCGGGTTTATGGCGCGTGCGACTAAAACACCGACCTAGGGTCTATGCCCCCTAGAGTACATGAACACACATGTCAACTTGGCATGATAATTTAACGTTATCTAGCTTACCTCCCACTTCTTGTGACACCAGCACATTGACTATGGAAATGTCCCAAATAACCGTTCATATTTTTATACTGATTTTTCATTCCAGATTTGGTCGTCGTCCGGTGATTTTTATCGGTCTTCTTGTAAACGTATTCGCCGGCATCGGCTCAGCTCTCTCGCCGTTCTTCCAAGTCTTCGTTGCCTTTCAGTTCGTCAGTGGGATAACGTTTTGTAGTGTTTTCACAACATCGTATATTTACGGTGAGATCCTAAAACGCATATCACATTTTTTTTCTTTCAAAAGTACTCTCCATCCACCGGTACTACGTCGCCGAAATTCGTGTCAATAGAGGGCGTCATACATTGTCATTCCCGGTATCATTGTGCTGTAAACCTTTGGGAGTTGCTGTTACATGTCGGCGGGTCATGCGCACGTGATTATTGACTTTGAAATTTGCATTCAATGTGTAATTACAATTAATTGAACATTAATCAAATTTTGCATTGCAAAAACAGACCCAGCAATGTATCGACAGGGAGTTTATTGAAATACCCAAAATTGTCAAACCAAATATGTTGCCGGGTGTCGTGTTTACAAGCCTAATATACCGGTAAAATACCTAGACGTTATCGGCTGTTTTTTTTATTTTCCACCCATGTGATATTGTAACATTTCTGTTTGTTTCAGTCCAGGAATGGGTTGGTCCGTCTACGCGATCATTTGTAGGCTGTACTATAAGTCTGTCTCATGTTCTATCAATGTTCGTGTTGGCTGCAATCTCGTATTTTGTTTTAGAATGGAGGGCGCTACAACTGCTTATCAGCATACCACAGAGTACAATTCTTGCCTATTGGTGGTACGTCATTCTGTTTATCTATTTTAAAGCGGGGGAGACGTCATCCGCGCATGCGTCAAATGGCCATAGCGTGTCATTGTTAACAAACAAGCGTCTACCCATGAGCCTTTGCGTGTTGTTATCGTCGCTTGGGACTCAAATCCAGCGCGTGCGCAGGCGACGACCCCCCCCCCGCTTTAAAATCATTATTATTTACACTCTAACCACAGTCGAAACACTCCACCTTTGTATACGTCACGGGTCACGCTTGTTTAGAGACCGTGTGCATGGGAATTTGTGCTTGCATTAGTATTATACATTAGTATTATATTTTACACATACTGGGTAGGGAAATACTCGGCTCATGGTCATCTTGGATGAAAATGTGCCTATTTTGAGGCTGTTATTAGTGATTATTAACATAGCGGGACGTCACCAGTAATGTCCATACTTATACCGGCCGTCTAATTCGTTCTACAGGTTCGTTCCAGAGTCGCCGCGATGGTTGATATCACAGGGGAGAGTCAAAGAAGCCGAGGTCATTATTATGAAAGCCGCTAGAATCAATAAATCTGATCTCTGTCCATTGGTAAGTACATGTCCCGGTTTTATGTATTTTCCCGCCATCTAACGACGAGTCTGGTTATGTAGTCGTAATTAGGACATATAACATCTCTAAAAACAAGTATTGGTCGATGACTATTTCAGACAATATCGACGCTGCGAGCGGCGTCGATTACATCTATGCAATTTTCTTTGATCATCTCTTTATCACAAAATGATGATGAAGTAGTTTGTTGACCTTTTCATGGTAAAAAGCGGCGATTGTGTCTGGGAGTCACACCAAAATACAATGTTTTAGCGCTCCATCAAAAAAAAAAACAACAACACAACATTGGGATTGTTACAGTGTATCGCACTAGTCTTCTTTTATGTTATTTACTTTAAAGTAAAAACGTAATTTTTAAACATGATTACTTATGACGTCACTATACCTGTCATTGTTAAATCCCTGTGAGGATGATGAATTAGGATTTCTGTTTCATTCAAAGCTACCTATGCAAGGTTCTTGGAAAGTCGAGCTGGAGACGACGAAGAAGTCTGTGGTCGACGAACAAAGATACACTGTGTTCGATTTATTTCGTACAGCTACGCTCAGGAAAGTCACCTTAAACGTCTTTTTTCAATGGTATGTTTGTATTCAGAGTTCATTTACAGTTGTTAAAGCTCGAATTGAGTGGGTTAATAAACGAGCCATGTTCATTTCTGTAATCGTCACCTTAAAGGTCATACACAGTTTATTAATTGACAAGGATCAGTCTATAGAAAAGTTGCACAAATTTTGTTTTCAGGATTGCAGCTTGTATGGTGTACTACGGTCTCACTTTGAACATTGAACTACTTCCGGGTAATCCGTACCTCAACTTCTGTCTTTCCGGTTTGGTTGAGATACCGGCCAACCTGTTCTCCATGGTGCTGATGGAACGACTGGGAAGACCAAAAGCGTTGTGCCTTTATTTCACCACAGCTGGTGTTGGCTGTATTGCATCTGCCTTAGTACCAAAAGGTATGCACCATGGGCCAGTTCTATGGGGACGGGCTTGGCAAACCAAATTCCGTGAAACATATTTTAGCCACAATGGACATTTGTATATTAGGCTCTTACAAGTGTATCGAATACTGTAAAATACTTTATTTTCACTTTATTTTAACTAATTTTCGCTATTTTTGCTGAAGGAATGATTCAGTGAAAATAAAATCCAGCGATTTTTTTTCCATATTTTACAACCAACTTGTCAAAAATCAGTGAAAATAAATTCCATACAAAACACCCAAAATGTCTTTTCAGCGAAAATTTATTCCAGCTAATATTTTACAGTAGTAATATATGTAAGTGGGGAGGAAATGTACTCTCCATCTCATATTACAAATGTTCCATCCCAAATGGGCATAATAATAGCTACTGGCACTTTTTGCAAAAATTTAAATAAATGATTGAATAATAAAGATAAATAAATAAATTAATAAATGAATAAATAAATTAATTAATTAATAAATTGATAAATTAATAAATAAAATTAAACTTACTCTGATTCGTACTTTTGTTTATTCTGCAGTTACTCTCATCCTTAGAATTGTGTCCACTTCGCTGGCAGTACTTGGCAAGCTTGGGGCCACTGCAGCGTTTTATTCTTCATGGGTATACGCCACGGAGTTATTTCCGACTGTTCTCAGGTAAGAAAAAAATATGCTCATTCAGATCCCACTTGAAGAATACAAGGAGATTGTTTGGCCCGTCTTTGTATTTATGTGTGCCATTTTGCTAATTATCGCCAAAACTACTCGTCAGATTTCAAAAACAACAAAATTGACTTCGAACGAGGTTAACAAAAATGGCGGAGTTGATGATGTACTATGACGCGACGTATTGACACTCTGTAGACCTGACCAACAATAAAGCGGAGCTTGTTTTTACAGGAACACTGGCGTGGGTGCAGCTGTATGTATAGCCCGCTTCGGTGGCTTCTCAGTACCATTTGTGTCTCTGCTGTCCAAGTATTGGAAACCCAGCGTATTTATAGTGTATGGCGGTGTGTCTGTATTCGCTGGTCTCCTTGTACTATTTCTACCTGAAACCAAGAATAAGCACCTCCCAACAACCATCCAAGATGTTGACAAATTTGTTAGGTGAGCTCCACAAAATAATTGAATGTTTTTTTTAGCGCGGCAGTCGTCGCGCTGCGCATGTGCGACATTTGTGTTGATAAATATTGATTTTCCCACAATCAAATGCGCTCTTTTAATGAAATCGAAAGTATGAGGTTTTACCTGGGCGCGACTTGCACTAATTACCACTGGTGATTCCTTCGACACCTTCCAACCACCTAAAATACCTAATTAAAGTTTCGCAACGTCTCAGTTTGAACCTTGCTGATTTGCAGTCAAAGTCGCCATCTTTGTTTATATGAGACCCATATATCTCGCGTATGCGTGGCGCGACGACTGCCGTCCTTTAAATAAATATTTTTGTTTCGAAAAACGTGTCTTTTCGTGAGAGAGACGGAAGTCTCGAGGCTAACACATATTCAAATGAGATATAGAAGAATTGGGTCCGTTAGGTATTTGACTGGAACGCTATATCATTTCTAATTTTCCACAAGAAACGGAACGACAGAAATTCAAATGTTTGATTTATTATGCATAACTGATGTTCTTTGACAAAATTGGTGCTGTTATTGTGTTCTTTTTCAGTTTCAGAAAGAAGAGACGAAGAAAGAAACGAAGGAAAATTATATTTGCTACAGATAATTATACTGACGACTTTTCTCATTATAAACAAAATATGCCACTTAAGACTTTATCAAATCAGAAAAAAGCCGAAGCCGAATTTTTTAATTTTGATGACAAATTATTGGCCGAGTCCAACCTCTGACACCAGTGTAATACATTTTTTCGCGATGCCTCGTTTTTTTCACCTCCCACGCCCGCCATCTCGTGATTTACGTGATCCACGCCATCTTGTCACCTATGCGATGTGTCTGCTTATCTACCGGTGTGTCGGCTATCTTGTGATCTGCGAGATTTGTCGGATATTTTCGTGATGTGTCGGCTATCTTCGCGATGCGTCGGCTACCGTGTTGTCTACGTGAACAGTGTCATCTCATCATCTTCCCGATGAGTCGGGTATCCTATGGACTACGAGATAAGTGCAATCTTCAAGTTGTCATTCACGTGATTGGTTGAACTCACACCATTGGCGTGATCTGTTGGCCATCGCATTCTCTAAGTGAGGTGTCTGACATCTCGTTGTTTGTGTGACGTGGTTGCTACTTTAAAACATGTCAGAATCATGAATTTCATTCCAAGTGTATTTTTTTTAAAAGCTGAAAATACAAATAAACATTTTGTACTTATTTTTCAATTTGTTTTTTTACCATGCAAGAACCAATGCACCCACACTTGGTAAAAGTACGTTGATTATGCAAGAATACCCGAATTCTGAAATACACCTATGGTTGATTTGAATGGGGAATGTACACAAATGGCACATTTACGTATGACGACTGTTTTTATATTTTCTGCAACAAAATTTCTCATGGTCTAATAATTTTGTTTTACTAGATCTGAAATCGCTTGAAACAACTAAAAGAATTGTTAGTGACTCAGCTGTTTCAAGGCGCCCAATTTTGATTCAAAAACCGCCGAACGTTCTGAACAAGGGGATATGCCACGTATAGCATGTAGGCTGCGGTTTTACGTCCCCACAAATTTTATTTTGACATTTTTATGATTTTAAATATTTTCTGTATATTTTCGAAATTATCCCTTTTTATCAGTCTCTTCTGACTTATAGACAACATAATAATGGTTGAATGAGTAATAACACGATAGCGCAAAACAGCAGCGTTATCCGTCACCCAGGGCACGTTTGTTCGAGTGTTCTTTCTTGTTTCCATATTTAGTTTCTATATACTAGATGGTTATATAAATGATCAGAATTCTATTCCCACAAATACAGGTATTATCGTAGTTGTAACGGCAAGCGTTCCTATATAGTGTTGCGTTTTAATTGGAGTTTAATTAAACCCAATTACAATGCAATATCCCGTGACTGAACATAGAAATATTTGCGAGGCGTCAGGTTTAGTAACGGGG